GGGCAATCGGACAACCGTTAGTGTCGAGGGCTGTACAGTGTATCTGTTTTTGCGTACCAGAAAAGAAAATCCTCGTTCACAGGCTGCAGTAGAGGGGCAAACATTTGAGGTAGCTGATCAAGTAACGACCATGCCTGGCCTGGGGGCCGGGTTTACATGTTCCTGTGTGCATGACTATGCACTGATTGTGCCATTCGCATTGTGTTTTTTTCATTCAAATCTCGTCGCAGCAAGGCAGCTTATGTCTGAGTAAAACAATGCAAGCGACGGGTGGAAACAGAAAAAGATCATTATGTCTAGACATTTAATAAAAAACTTGCCTGATTTCCTATTATAGTTCGTTTGTTCCTTTTGACAACTTGAAAAGGTGATTCAAGAGTCTCCTATAATGTGTTCAGAATAGCTTAGAATGCACCAAATTGCACCATTCTTTTAAAAAAATTACGGGGGAGCATGCCCCGGACCCCCCTAGCATGGCGATGACCTACGGTCCTCGCATTGCTCGCTCCTCTGTTTGCTAATTAGAATTTCAGCTGAAAATTAAATTATCCAATCTCATCCCTGGATATGGTTAGGGTTAGGGAGTAGGCATAGGCGGCTCCCTAGACTCGTTAGTGGAATAGGCGATGTACGGTCCGGCATATTAGATAGTAGCAGCAGAGCATATAAATTACGTTGATTTATATGCTCTGGTACCAGGGTACGTTCCGGCAGTACCCCGGGGGACATAGACCCTCTCAGCACTAGTGGGAGCGAAGGGGCAACACCGGTAAAGCTAACTCTATGCAAAATCTGACGCCAGTGTTAGTTTACATGCAGTTAATATGAATGCTGCATGTGCAAATAGTGAAACATATATAGGCAGGCATACTGCCTTAATTATGTAGTTTTTTCTCCCTACAGGGATTTTTCAGTTACCTCACTAGTTGCGGTTGCTTGCATTTAAAATAATGATCATAGCCTAAATATAGGATTATAATTATGGATTGTTGTTAGGTTGTATAACATATGCTATCAAAGCCCTGTGGTGCTACCTGTCTTGACAAGTATGATTGACATTTTTAACATTTCGCTATATAATCAGTATTCTAATGCTGTAAAAACCAGGAGCTTATGAAGAACACACTATATAGAACTTCATTCATAAACCTTGTTTTTTGTTCCACAGAGTTGCCGTAATTACACAGTATTCACGGGAAAACTTTGAGAAACAAATGGAACAGAATGATGTTTCAGAAGATACATTTGCTCCAGGAAAGTACTGGGAGGTAGGTTGGTAGATATTAGTAATTATGCCACAAATATTATAACTTAAAGCTGCTGTCCCCCAATGAAAAGCTTTCATAAATGCCTCTGTAGTCTGTACACATTGCCATTCTTTGGTTACCACGTAAAAATTACCACCAACACCAATTTATACCACGTAAACGTTTAGCACAAACAAGCCCCATGAGTTGGTGAATAAACTGAATATAGTTCGTAAAATGTAAACAAACCGCCGTGACCGTCCATTTCAAATTAACTTGAGCGGCACAGTATAATGTGTATTCTAGAGCTAGCAGTTATTATAGGATAGTAGTTTTGTACAACAAGGAAATAAACCATTTTTCAAATCTTATAATAAACTAGGATTGAAAAGAATGATAACCTCTTACTCAAACTTTATTTTGTTAATAGATATTAGCAAAATTACAATAATTTGGGCTTATTTATATAATATATTGCATAGATAAATCGTATTACTTGGAGTCACTGTGTCAATATTACTCCTCACAAAAGCATGGATGCCTTCGCCGATGTAAACATCGCAATGCAAGGTTTTAACAAGACAACTTTTCTGTTGAGTCAGCTTCTTGTCTTTGATCAAAATGTTTTTATGCACAATATACTTGCATAGAACACCATTTTTATTAGATACATTGTGCATTTCGCGGACAAGCCGCTTCAAATAACCAATCCTAATTTTCAAAATAATGTTCATAATAAAATGAGTTTACATCCAACTGGAATTTGGAAATACTTCCTCTGTTACGATTCTTTGCTGTTGTAATTTTTAGGACGGGATTACCATCTTTGAGGGTTTGTCAGCCTCTGGTTTGCGGTCAATCAGATTTGCCCTGGAGCTTCCAGGCATCAAGCAGGTGTTGTCGAACGACATGAGCCACGAGGCAGTCGAATACATCAAACTCAACGTGGGGCACAATGACGTGGGACACATCGTTAAGCCTAGTCAGTCAGATGCTGCGTGAGTACTTACAACTTAGTAAACAAGCCGGTGTCAGTGGGCCTGAGTTAATAATATATGCTATAATGGTTATACAAATTTACTTCCTTCAGGTTATGATATAATCCACAGTAATGCAGATATATGATCAGAAATCTTTGTTGTATATTAATATTAATTAGCTGCATATTGATATAATTACCATTTTAAAATATTGACATAATTTGAGTTTAATCTATTCTATAGTGCATACATGTATAGCTATGCCAGCAAACGAGAGCGAGAGAAGTTTGATGTGATTGATCTAGATCCATATGGCAGTCCTGCAATCTTCCTAGATGCAGCTGTTCAGGCTCTAAAAGATGGAGGTACTGTATTTGTAACTATTAAATAGTAGAGGAAACAATGCAATACTGTTGTTAATAGACATGAATCAAATTAAGAATGATTGAGTGACAGCAACGAAAGAGCAACTTGGTTGGTGGGTCAAAGGTTGATCTCTTACTCTTTCATGATGTTTAGCTCTTTGTTTCTGTTGCAGGTCTTTTATGTGTGACTTGCACGGACACAGCAGTTCTATGTGGGAATGGGGCTGAAACATGTTTTGCCAAGTATGGTGGAATGTCGCTCAAGGCGAAATATTGTCATGAGATGGTAAACCATTCTCCACATTGTTATAACATATGTGTAGTCAAGGTTTAGGAGCTATTAATGTGAAATAACAGCACAATATTTCAGATTGGTGTGGTGAGGTTAAAAACTTCCCAAAGGCATTAATCGATGTGGTTAAACAATTATTGGTTAATCAATATGTGCATAGAGATTTGTTATTTAATAACTGATGTGGAAAAGGTATTGAGGATAAAATTTACGAAAATTATTAAATCGGCTGGTCCTTAAATCTCAGTAATGGTATAAATATTCTTTACAGGCTCTCAGACTTCTGCTCAACAGCCTCGAATCACATGCAGCACAGTATTCTCGTTACATCGTACCTGTTCTCTGCATCAGTGCTGATTTCTACATACGAGTGTTTGTGAGATTATTCACAAGTGCTAAACGCACAAAAAGCACTGCCAGGTAAAATAGCTGTTAATTGTTTTACCATACTTGAATGGGCATATCTTCTCTGTCATTCAGAGATGTCAATTGGGCTGATAGTTGATGATCACCTAAGATGACTAATATTGGTATTTTACATGGATAAGTTTTAACAAAAGAAGAGAGGTGACATATATCTGTTGCATTTTTTTCTGGCAGTAAGAGGGCGCTAGTGTATCACTGTACTGGCTGTGAAACATTCAACTTGCAGCACATGGGGAAGGTGATAACAACTGAGCAAAACAAGTGAGTTAGTTTCATATGCAGATTACAGTTTTGTTGATAGTGGTTATTATAGCTACCTCAGTGTATATTAGGCCAACAATTTACATGCTGGCAGATGTTTGCATTTGATAGATAATTGAACATAATTGGTTGATATAGCAAGTCTATGAATGTGTAATTTCCAGCACACTGTACAAGAATAGCACAGGACCACCAGTCACATTAACATGTAGGCACTGCTCTAACCCTCATCATGTGAGTACCTTATATATATATACATAACTAGCCACAGACATGCTTTCATTGCATCATAACATAATTTATTAAATAATAAAAAGTTATATCTTATAAAGTGTTCTCGTGGCTATTGTCGTATCTAAATTTAGTGGAGCAAAAGCTGAATTATGATCAAGTCACAATACTGTTATGTTCTTCGGATATTATTTGTTTAATTATTCATGGAATTGCCAAATGCCATTGAATATACTTCCCTTGCATAGTAGTGTGTTTTATGCAATTGCAGATTGGTGGACCTATGTGGGTGGGACCACTGTATGAAACTGGATTCCTCGGTAGAATCACTGAAGATGTTCTCGATCGCTGGGATGCATTTAAGACAGCGAAGAGAATTTTTGGTATGCTAACCATGATGATTGAGGTAAGTTTGTGTTTAGCGAAAATGAAATAGAGCTGCATTTTAAAATCGGAAAAGGATATATATTTCAATCTCGCATATCATATATTTCACTGCTATTGAAGAAAGCCTATAAATTGTAATCTCAAAGTTATACGTATAATTATATTCCAGGAATTACCAGATGCCCCCTTGTTTTATGTGCTGGATAAGATATGCAGTGTTGTACATGTATCAGCACCAAAGATAGTAAAATTCAGGTAATTAAAGCTATCCTTAAATTGACTACGTCACGAATTTTCTATGGTAAAATTTGTAAAAATTTTGTTGCCATTTTTTTACATTAAAAGTAAGAACTAACGGGAGTGACCGAAAGTAAACGTATCGTCAAATTCTTACCTGATGAGATTGTTTCTCAACTAGTTAAAAATCCAAAAAACCTGGACGATTTGATATTATGTTCTTGACATTAATTGCTTGCTATGGGCTATGTATGAGTCACGAGTGTATGTTCACATCGAACAATATAGTAAAAACAGGAAGTATAATGCAGCAATTTAACCATAAAAAGTGAACAGAATTACTTATTTTGTGAAAAAGTGGAAATTTTATTTTTATTTTATTATTTACGGTGACGTAATCACTTTAAACACTTCTCTGATTTGTCATGATGTTGTGCTGCAATCTTATAATGAGTATATGGCTAAGAAGAAGAAGGAGCTTTTAAGATCGCTATGGTTTACAGGTCCGCATTGCTGCATGCTGGGTTTCGTGTATCTGGCTCTCACTGTAATAGAGGAGCAATCAAGACGGATGCTCCCAGTGATGCCATCTGGGATATTATTCGTTGCTTGGTAAGTGCTGCCATCTTTCAATAACATTGTTGTAACTACTCATAGATTGTTATCCCATTACCAAAAATAATATTTTTTCTCGATAGGCAAAAGAGGAAGGAAAACGAACGAAGGCAAAACCTGGATCTCAAGCAGAAGCGATTCTAAACAAAGAGCCACTGTAATTTTTTTTTACATTTTCATTATCTTGCTCATACCTATAGAATAAACTAATAATAACAAGTAGTAATAGTAATAGTGACTGCAGCATTGTCATTCATACCAGACTACCATTGCATATTTTCACCCTGTGGTTTAATAAGGAGTATACCATATTTACTCATGTATAAGTCACACTCTTTTGTACCGAAATTCACTATATAAAGCTGGTATACCACATACATGGGGCTAAGAACCCCAGAGCTTATTTAAGAGTGATAATGAATAATTTGATGGATTTTAATTGTTTTAAATTGTGAATTGATTTCTTTTGATTCTTAATTCATCTTAATATTGATCTTCTTTATGGTTATGCTTAACATCATGCATGCATTTTACAAGTGGGCCATAATCATGTTCATAATTTACTTCTGTCAATCTGCTGCAATATGGCAACTAATTTTATCAACCACTACGCGTCGTGACACCAATATTCAATACCACTAGTATTACCAGTACATTATTCCCATATATATTACATGAACCTAATTTCTACCAATCTTGAAGGTAATACTTTGGGTGCGACTTATACACTAGTGCAGCTTATACATGCCTGTTACTTATACACGAGTAAATATGGTAATTGCTTGTTTTTACTGCTTATTTAAATTGTATTGTTACACATATTTAAAGG